ATGATGATGATGATGATGATGATGATGATGATGATGATGATGATGATATCATGATGGTGAGTAAAGGCTTTTCTCTAACATAGTGATAACACTTGTTTACCGACTGTTACAGGTAATGGGACACCCCAACAATTAGTATGTGTATGTATGTGTTAGGCGACCCTAAAAGGTATCATGCAAACCCTCGAGACCCTTCTTTGACGGATTTGGCAGCTTCTGATTTACCAAAGTTGAGAGAGGTGCATCAGTTGACTCCATGGGTTGCTCCCAACCGACCTTTCTTGGTCTTGCATTGTCGCCCTCGCTGCTCCGGGCGGGGCTCCGACGCGTCGGGGCTCCGCACGGTTTTTGCGGAAGAAGAAGAAGGCAGGCAGAGAGGCAAAAAGGCAGGCAGAGAGGCTCAAAGCGTGAGCTATTCATTGATGAAAGATAGAATGATTATTGAAACCTCCTAGCTTACGGGTGTCTACGAGTCTAGTCTCTCCTGCCCAGGTGTATGTTGCAGAGCTGCTACTCTGACCATCGACCCACCATCGCTGCCTCGCGGCCACCGCGGCCATGCGTTCCACCCCCTCTGGGGACAGACTGCAGGCGGTGGAGGCTCCAAAAAAGGCGTGCCTTTGGACAGGGTTTCACCCTGCTCTTCTGTGCCCAGTATGCAACGTAGACTTGATGCAGAACATTCACCCAAACATACCCTCACTGATCTTGGCTGATCTTCACTGTGATAAGGCAAAGTACATCAAAGTGGATCGAATCACAGCTTCCACGTCGCGGAATGGAGCGATTGGCAAGTCCAATAACCCCAGATGGGCAAGTCGTGTACTATGTTCCGCACCCCAAGACACGCGACTTCAGACGTCATCCGACCATCGATGGTTCCCTACACGTACCAGTACGCGCTAAGGCTACACGTACGTCTCCTATCCTTGGGAATAAGTCGTCACCTGCGATGTGTTGGGGGTCTGACGTCTTGACCGTTATTCACTCCCTGAAAGAATCACGGAAGTGGGACAAGACATGTGTTCTCTACAAACAGGAGGCTTTGCACTTCCATCTTAATGACTCCGAGAGTACCTTCTAGCTATATACTCCATGAAGATACTTCCTTGGCCAGTCTCCAGCCTACAGTTAGGGCTTGAAGCAAGCATTACTAGCTCTGTCTAGCTTCTCCCTAAAAACCATGATGTGACAAATGGATACAAACGGCTAATCCATGGAGTGGATTTGCAAACGTGGATAAAACATGATAAAACTGGATTCACCCCAGGCCCCTGGCCAACCTCACCATGATAATATAGATGTTTGGACCCTCGCCAAGGTTTTTGGCGGGCCGCGTCTTGGGAAGTTCAAGAATACAGAACACCAGCGAAAGAGAGCGGAACTTGGATTCTTGGCCAGGAAGTTTGCTGCTTCATTTCGACATGCAATGCAGTCATCTGCAGTCTCATCCCATCATTTCATGGCCAAGTGGGCGTCTTCGCTGGTGCCCCGTCGAGCTCGACACAGCTTCGATGTGCCGACGACTACCTGAGGCGGGTGCAGGACGTCACGTCGCACGGTTC